TAGAGACGGGGTTTCACCATGTTGACCAGGATGGTCTCGATCTCTTGACCTCGTGATCCACCCGCCTCGGCCTCCCAAAGTGCTGGGATTACAGGCTTGAGCCACCGCGCCCGGCGGCTTTTTGGCTTTTAGGAGTAATGCTGCCGTGGTGCTCAGTGTGTGGTGAGTAATGGACAGAAGGCGCCACCCTGGTGGGCGCCCTGCCGTGGCCTGAGCGGGAGATGAGGGCCGGCAGGGCCTGTGGACAAGTCCAGAGTGAGGCGGAGTCTTCGAGGGGCTCCCACGCTGTCTCTGGAGGAGTGGGCTGGCTTTTCTCCCCAGTGGGCAGCTGTTGAACGTTTGGGAGCCTAAGGAGCCTTCCAGCCCAGATGTCTTTCAGGAGGAATGTGGCTGTGGGCTGGACTGGCTGGGTCAGGGCGGGCCATGTGGGCTGAGGTTCGAGCTGGGGCCTGCCGCGTTGGGGCCACATGGCGGCTGGTGGGATGGGAGGGAGCCTCTGCCAACCAGCACCCCGGATGCGGGATGTGAGGTCTCAGGGGAACTACGCATCCAGACATTGGGTGTGCTGTGTGAGGACCCCTGCGTCCCAGCTCCACAGCGCTGTGTGACGGGATGTGGCAGCAGCTGAGTTGGCAAGGGAGGCAGGGCGACTTGAAAAGCAGGCTGGGACCAAAGCATCTTGCAAAACCACACCTCGTCGCCTCGCCTGGCTTGAGTGCTGTCCCGAGCATCGCCCTTGGCCCTGCCATGGCTGGGCCAAGCAGTGGCTAGCACCTCATGGCCGCCAGGGGCCCTGGGCCACCTGGGCCTGGCTCGGCTTCTGCGGCCCAGGGCCCCTGCCTCCCTCTGCAGCCTCTCCTGGTTTCGGTGGGTTATGCAGGAGACACGGGTGGCTTCCACTCAGCTGGGGTGGTGCACACGAGTTAACACGCAGCCACTCAGTTGTGCACGTGCTGCATGCGTGTCTGTGTGCATGCCTGTGTGTATGTTCATGTGTGCATGCAGTGTGCACGTGTGTGTGTACATGCGTTCACGTGTGTGTGGTGTGCACAGGTGCGTGTGTACACATTGGTGCGTACGTCAGCCTGCAGGGGTGTGTAGGTGTGAGCCGCTTCGCTTCCCCATCAGTGTACCCGGATCGCCTCTGTAGAGCTCCATAAGGTCCTTGGCTGCGGCTGTCATTTTTGCCTTCCTAAAAAAACAAGCAAAAAAGTCCAGATGCAGTGGCTCATTCCTGTAATCTCAGCACTTTGGGAGGCCGAGGCGGGTGGATCACCTGAGGTTGGGAGCTCAAGACCAGCCTGACTAACATGGAGAAACCCTGTCGCTACTAAAAATACAAAATTAGCCAATCGTGGTGGTGGGCACCTGTAATCCCTGGTACTTGGGAGGCTGAGGCAGGAGAATCGCTTAAACCCAGGAGGCAGAGGTTTGATGAGCCGAGACTGCACTGTTGCATTCCAGCCTCGGCAACAAGAGTGAAACTCCGTCTCGAAAAAACCCCACAAAATCCCCAAACAGTAGTACCCAGCCAGTTCTCATCTGGGCAGTGACCTGTGGCTTTTCAGACTCCTTTCTGGCCATCTTGGTCTTCCGGCATCCTTGCTGAGCGCTGAGGCTCGCTTGTTTCATAGTTCAGGAGTTTATGGCCTGAGGGGCCTTGTGACTTGGGTGCAGAGTTACCAAGGGGTGGTGCCCTCTGACCCAAGTGCAGGGCCCTGCTCGCCTCCTGCTGCTGTGCAAGGCCTGTACCAGGGGCAGTCTCAACGTGTGTGCTGGTCCTGTGCTGGGGTGTAGCGTTAAGCACGTTCGGGGCCCCTGCCAGGGGCGGGCTTTTATTGTGCTGCTCTCGTGTCAGATGTGGCTTTCTGTGTGTGCTGTTTGCTATTTCCAGGTGCTGCACCCTTCCAAACAAACCCGCAGAGTGGCCATCTTTTATAATAGCGTTTTGTTAAAAATAGAGTCTCAGCCACGTGCGGTGGCTCACATGTGTAATCCCATCGCTTTGGGAGGCTGAGGTGGGTGGATCATGAGGTCAAGAGATTGAGACCAGCCTGGCCAACACAGTGAAACTCCATCTCTATTAAAAATACAAAAATTAGCTGGGCGTGGTGGCATGCGCCTGTAACCTTTGTGGGCTTTCTGGACCTGCTTGGGAGGCTGAAGCAGGAGAATCACTTGAACCAGGGAGGTGTAGGTTGCAGTGAGCTGAGGTCGCACCACTGCACTCCAGCCTGTGGGCAGAGTGAGACTCCGTCTCAAAAAAAAAAGTCTCACCTGGGATCAGTCCTGACCCACAGGGAACACTGGCAGTGTCTGGGGACATCTGTGGTTGTCACAGTTCAGGGGTGGTGCTCCCGATGTGCAGTGGGTGGGGGCCGGGGATGCCGCTGAGCACCCCGCAGGGCCCGGGCCTCAGCACCCATCAGCAGAGCGAGTCCTCAAATCGCATCCCCTCCGTGCCTGCCACCGCCCTTCTCTTCAGGGTGTGCTGGGGGGGGGTGTGGGGGTCCCTCTCAGGAGAAGGCGGTGTCACCTGCACACTCACCCTCATGCCTCCTGTCCTGGAACGTGGGTGGGTTGGAGCTTTTGTGGATGAGATGAGGGCTGGAGGGCGGAGGACTACCTGAGACAGAATTGAAGTCCATTTTCTTTATTCTGAAAAGGACTCAGCGTGGTAGAGGCAAGTGATGGGGAGAGCCGTCGGCCCTGGGGCTCCCTGATAGTGATGTGTCCGGCGTTTTGCGAGACCTCCCACAGGGAGCTCAGGTGCCGTGGGCAGTTCCTGGGCTTCCTGAAAGCAGCACTGTGTGTGGCCACTGTGGGCCACACGGAGCCTGTCTCTTCTCCAGGAGCTGCCAGGAGAGGGGGCCTGCGACAGGCACCTGCACAAAGACGTCTACTGTGGGCAGCAAGGAAGTTTCCAGAAAGTACGGGAGAGTGGTGTTGGGGCTCGCAGGCTTTCTGGAGGAGAGGCTGTGAGAGGAAGTGAGCTGGGCCCCAGCACCAGGCAGCCTTTAGACAGCCGGGATTGGGACAGCACTGTGGGCAGAGGGGCCAGCTCAGGACGACGTGTGCGGAGGCAGGGAGGTGCCGGAAGATTCAGAGACAGCAGGTGGTGAAGGCCAGCCTGGAGAAGAGGGCAAGGGCGCTTTAGTGTCTAGGCCAGCGGGGGCATGAGCGGCGTGATTACTTGAGTAGGGAGTTGAGGCAGTCTCTGTTTAGGAAGTAGAAGTTAACTATTGCTGTGTAGTGAGGTCACCCCAAAACTTTGTACCTTAAATTAGCAACTTATTTCAGAGAGTTTCTGAAGGTTGGGAATTTGGGAGCACCTTGTTGGGTGGTCCTGGATTGGGGTCTCAGAAGCTGTAGTCAAGACAGCAGCCAGCCAGGGCCCCATCATCTGGCGGCTGGAGCGGGGCTGGGGGAGCCCTCGCGAGCTGGCCCCTCTAGTGGCTGTGGGTGGGAGGCCTCAGTTCCTCACCCCATGGGCCTCTCCGTGGAGCTGCTTGAGGGGCTTCACAACATGGCAGCTGCCTGCCCCAGAGCCTGTGACCCACGAGTGAGAGCGAGGAGGACACCCTGTGCCTTCGTGAGCTAGCCTTGGAGATGGCGCACTGTCACTTCCGTCACATTCTGTTCACTAGAAGTCCAGCCCGTGCTCAGCGGGAGGGAATTGGGCTCCAGTATTGGAAGGAAAGAGCATCAGAGGCACATTGTGCGCACATTGAAAACCCAGCAGTGGCATCCCGGCTTGTGAGCGTGAAGAAAGTGGGGGAACAGAGTCTCTGCCCAGGGGCTGACCGGGTAGTGAGAGGCCGAGGTAGGAGAGGGGCTTGGGTGAGGACCCCCATGTCACCCAGAATGTCTGGGGGCTTGTCTGGAGGCTGGGGTGAAGAGACAGTTGGCTGCTGGGCCCTTTCCCGATAGTTTTTCCAGGCTGACTTGCTGATCCTTTGGATCCTCTGGGGCTCTGGGAGCCTCAGTGTGCCCGTCTCTGAGATGGGGCGGTAGTGTGCTCATGCCTGGAAGCGCTGTGGGTATTAGCAAGGTCATGGCCGGCATGGAGACATGGAGTGGTTCAGGGACGTGCTCAGGGTCACTCACGGCAGGCACAGCGGTCCCAGCTGACCCCGCCACATCACCAGGAGGGAGAGGGGAGCAGCTTGTGGGCGCCCGGCGCACAGCGGGCCAAGTATGGCTGTGGTGCTGAGAAGGCTCCGGGGAAGGGGGCGCCCAGCCCTCGGGGTGGTGCTGAGACATTCCCTTGGGGTGAGCCCATGCGGCAGGGTGCTGCCCCACCAGCGGATGTTGCTCATGAACTGGCGTGACCGTGGTGGAGCGGCACAGTCCCAGCTGTGGGCCGGTGCCCTGCGACTTGATTTGGCTTGAGACCTCGTGGTCTTTGATGTAGATACCAAACTATTGGCCCCCAGGAAAGTGTGTTCTTGCAGAACTTCTGGAAAAGGTGGTTCCAGTAAGACCCTGGCTTGGTGGAGGATGGGTGGGAAGGGCACTTTTTAAACTGTTCCTGAGGCATCGGGGCCGCGGTGTCTGGTGGAGACAGTCAGCCGCACGCACCTTGGTTTCCGTGCTGGGTGCTGCAGCACAGTGGGGTCTGGGTAGGAGGGGCGGCAGCGGGAGAGCCAGGCCCCCAACTGCTGCCCGTCCTCACGTGCCCTGTCCCACAGGCACGGGCGAGAGCGGGAAGAGCACCTTCATCAAACAGATGCGCATCATCCACGGTGCCGGCTACTCTGAGGAGGACAAGCGCGGCTTCACCAAGCTCGTCTACCAGAACATCTTCACTGCCATGCAGGCCATGATCCGTGCCATGGAGACGCTCAAGATCCTCTACAAGTACGAGCAGAACAAGGTGAGCGCAGGCGTGGCTGGTGGTGTGTGCGGCCGCCCTGCCAGGGTGGGGCTGTGAGGGGTCCTGGCCGGCCCAGGTTACCTTGCTCACCTGGCCGTTTCTGTCGTGGACATGGAAACAGCAACCGCTACCTTCCTGGGGACCGACTGCAGAGTTAAGATGTGCATTGCCTGGCCCAGCCCCACACTTCCCTCCCAAGTCTCTGTGGGCGCTGCACCCTGCGGGTGGGGAAGCTGAGGCCTGCGAGGTGAGCTGCTCGCCCAGGCTGCCTCGGAAATAAGCAGCACAAGCCCCTGGTTCCGGGTCCTTCCCTGGGCCGACCAGCCTACCGGACACCTGGGGTCGACCCACACGGTCAACCCCTGGGGCTGCACTTCTCACCTTCTCGCCCTGGTGTTTTTATTCTTTGAAAACAGTCTTGCTCTGTTGCCCAGGCTGGAGTGCAGTGGAGCGGTCAAGGCTCATGGCAGCCTGGACCCCTGCGCTCAGGTGATCACCTCAGCCTCCCGAGCAGCTGGGGCTGCCGTTACCACGCCCAGCTGACTGTCGTATTTTTTTGTAGAGATGGGGTTTCACCTTGTTGCCCAGGCTGGTTGTGAACTCCTGGGCTCAAGCAGTCCTCCTGCTTTGGCCTCTCAAAGTGCTGGGATCACAGGTGTGAGCCACTGTGCCTGGCCTCCGCCCTCATTTTTTTTTCCTATTCTTTTAACAAAGTAGAAGTCCTTTGATGCCCTGTTTTCAGTAACAACTTTATTGAGCTTTAATCAGCATTCTATGCGCTTCACTTGCTTCAAGTGTCTAATTTGGCGGCTTTCGACATATTTGCATAGTTGTGCAGCCATCACCACTGCCTGATTCCAGAACATTCATCTTCCCAAAGGAAGCCCCGTCCCCGTCGGCTGTCACTCCTGACCCCCTTCTCCAGCCCAGCACCCACACATCCCCTTCCTGCCTCTGTGGGTGGGCTGGTCCTGGCCATTTCGTAGGAATGGGATCACACAGCATGTCCATTGTTGTCTGGTGGCCCTCACTGAGCGTGGCGTCACCAGGGTGCATCCGTGCAGGGGCTGGCCTCAGAGCCCTGCCCCTGTTCGTGGCTGAGTCCCCATTCCAGTGCGTGGAGGGACCGGTGTTTGCCCATTTATTCCCTGGTGGACATTTGAGCGTCTTCCTGTGTGGGCTGTTGGGAATGGATCTGCTGTGACTGTCTGTGGACGTGTGTTTGTGTGGACAGTGTGCTCCCTTCCCTCAGTTGTACCCCGGCTAGCAGAGTTGCTGGGTCTAGGGTGACTCAGGAATTGCCCTCTGAGAAGCCTCCCCCGTGGCCACCTGAGGGGCAGGCCCAGCAGCTGTGCCACCGTGGTTCCTGCCAGTGGTCTCTCTGGGCCCTTCCAGCCATGGGGCCACTGATCCCACTTTTGTAGCCCTGTTTTCCGGGGTGCGTCTGTTGCTTTTGGATCTTAGTTTACCACGTGCCCTGTCTCTGCTGTGATCCCTTCCAGCGGTGGTCTCTCTCAGAGTCCAGCTTCACATTTGGGCTTAGATTCCATCAGCATCTGAAACAGGCACCTGCAAACTGCAGACTGATGTTGTCAATAAAGTTTTATTGGCACGTGCCCATTTCTGCCATGTTGCCCGTGGTGCTTCGGCAGCAGCGGCAGAGCTGAGTGCTGGAGGCCGTCTGTGTGGTCGGCAAAGCTGGGCGTGCTCTCTGGCCCTCTACAGAAGCAGATTGCTGGTCCTGAATCTGGAAGTTTCCAGGGAGTGGGATTTTTGGGGTTTGTGTCTCTTTTTCCAAGTCCCCCGAGGTGTGCTTAGCCCAGATTGAGAGGCTGGTGGCAGGGCGAGGGGAGGGCTGAAGCTGGAGTTGGGGCCAGGGAGCGTTATTCACAGGGGACAGCAAGGGCAGAGTCTCTGCTCTGGGGACCCTGGGAGGGCCCCACGGCTCTCAGAGCCCAGGGCAGGACTCCCTTCTTCCCCATCTTGGGTGCCACCCATTGGGTCCCCTCCCCAGTCCCTCAGGCAAACTGTGGCTGATTGTGTAGGCCTGTGTGCCCCGGGATGGGCACTCGGAGCAGGAGGAGGCGAATAGACAGCCTTCCCAGCGTCTGCCCCTGGAGGGTGTGTGTATGTAAGCGTGTGTGAGCACGTGTGCGTGTGTGAACATGTGTGTGTGTGTTTGGTTGGCTTTCTTTTGTAGATGGGGCAGCAAACCTGTAGAAGGGGCACCTCGTTCCCCAGACAGCAGGTGCCCGGCTGCAGGGGACACTCAGACGCTCATTTTCCCAGTGCGTCCGCTCATACCTGCACACCTGGTGCTTTCGGAGGCCAAGGCAGGGGGATCGCCTGAGTCCAGGAGTTTGAGACCACCTTGGGCAACACAGCAAGACCTCATCACTACAAAAAACATTTTAAAAATTAGCTGAGCGTGGTGCTGTGTGCCTGTGGACCCTGCTACTCTGGAGGCTGAGGCGATGAATCGCTCGAGACACCCGCAGCCCAGGGTTCCGTGAGGCAGAGGTGGCTCATGCGTTGGGCAAGATATCACGTTGAGAGTCGCGGCTCAGGGGCCTGCCTGTCCCCAGGGCCAGGTGTGGTGCCAAGAGAGAAGCCAGGCAGGGCAGAAACCAAGACTGGAGCCGCACGCCTCGGGTTGCAGTGGCCTGTGACTCGGCTTCCGGCCTCCCGGTGTGTCTGGAGAATTTGGGGCAGTGAGTGCTGGGGTGTCGCCTGCTCCCCGGCCCCCATCACCATCTGTTCTGTGGTCGGGCTTGGCGCTGTCCCGCCCTCCTGTGGGTCCTCCCCTTGCTTGGGTTTGAAGTGTGTGTTGTTCCCCCCGCCATCCCCTCCCACCTCTGAGAAGCCAGCAGAAGCCCGGTCTCCGGGCACCCAGCGGACCGCCCCGCTGGGAGGCTTTGCTTGTGGGCCTTGTTGGGAGGAGCCGCACGGCGAGGCGGCCTGGCGTCTTCCTGCCGCGCGTGCACACAAAGCTGTCAGTGGTCCTGAGCACGCAGCCTGCAGAATGCTGCCCGGTCCATGCAGGCCTGGAAGAGGGGCGATCACGAGCTTTCTCGTGGCTCCGTGGCCCCTGGCAAGCCTTTGGCCTCTCCCCCGCCCGCCCTCACAGGCCAATGCGCTCCTGATCCGGGAGGTGGACGTGGAAAAGGTGACCACGTTTGAGCATCAGTACGTCAGCGCCATCAAGACCCTGTGGGACGACCCCGGCATCCAGGAGTGCTACGACCGCAGGCGCGAGTACCAGCTCTCCGACTCCGCCAAGTAGTAAGTGCGGCAGCACGTCATGGGAGGGGCGGCAGCTGCAGGCTGGCACTGGGGGCCCTTCTCGAAGCCCTCTGTAGCCCCCGGGGTGCCCCCTGCCCACTAGCCTAGGGCACGGATGTGGTGGGCCCCGGCCACCTTGCTGGACGGAGGGACCAGAGCAGACCCGGGACGGGCCTTAGCGGGAGCCGGGGGACTCTGGTGTAGCACTGGCCTCCCTGTGCCCCTGGCCCTGCTGCCGCCCTCCCTGGGGGGACTGAGCTCCTGGCCGTCCGTGATGCCGGAGTCTGGCCTGTTGCCGCCAACCCATGGTCTCCTCCTAGGAAGGCCGTGTGATGGGGCTGGACGTACCCCAGCCCGTCTTGCTCCTGTCTGTGGCATCCCCCGCAAGGCCACGTCTCCCAGCAGTGACTGGCTGTGACCTTGACTGACGTTGGGGCCTGGGGTGTGGGAGACCTGTGTGCTGATGGGTGGCTGGGCCGTGGCTGCAGGCACAAGGCGGGCTGTGCACTGCTGCCTCTCCATGCTCTGCAGGCCGAGGCCCCAGCCCTCCCCAGCACTGGGAGAGACCCTAAGGGGACAGGGACAGGCCCATCCCCTGCCTCTCCTGCCTGTCCTCTCTGTGTTCCCTGCCTCTGGGGGACTGTGGGAGGGCCCAGATCACCAAGCACTTGGGACCAAATGCCAGGGCCTTTGGACAGAACCGAAAAGGTCTAAGAAGGCATGTGGCCTCCCCGGCGTCTTACAGCCCCACTCAGGACTGCCCAGGGTGTCAGAAATGGGAAGCTGTCACAGCCCAGAGGGCCTCAGGAGATGCTGCAGCTAAACGCTGTGTGGGCTCCCAGAGAGAGGTTGTGCGGCTGGGCAGGAAAGGGCATGAGGGGAAACTGAGGAAGCAGGAGTCAAGCACGGACTTGAGTAGCTGCGCTGTGTAGATGCTGGCCTACTGCTCATGGTGGGCGCCGCGCCCAGTGCAGGGAGCAGCAGGGAGACGGCGCGGGCTCTGCTGGGGCCTCTGCAGCCGCCGCTCTCCTCATAGTGTGCTCACTTGTAAAGCCTCAAGCCTGGGCAGCCGGGGTGCTCGGGCGTGCCCTGCCCTGGGGCACGGTCTCCCGCTTGGTGGCCATCTCTGGGTGGCTCCAGGACAAGGCCCTAGACCAGCTGGAGTCCTCGTCCTGGGAGTTTCTCTTGTGCTGGGTCACTTCTGTCCCCCAAGGCCGCAGAGAGGAACCCGCGCCTCCTGCCCAGATGGAGCTGGGAGGCTCTCGCCTGACCCCAGGATCTCCCTGCAGCTGCTTCAGACCCTGCTGGGGGTGGCGCGGTGCACGGGCCACACCCTCCCGGTGGCTTCCCGTCCCCCTTCTGGTGTGCGTGCTGTGTCACCGTCAGTCCTGTCCCCCACCCCGCGGCCAGCCCGAGTGTCCCCCACTGTGTTGCAGCTACCTGACCGACGTGGACCGGATTGCCACCTCGGGCTACCTGCCCACCCAGCAGGACGTGCTGCGGGTCCGCGTGCCCACCACCGGCATCATCGAGTACCCTTTCGACCTGGAGAACATCATCTTCAGGTACCGCCTGGGCCACCGCTGGTGGGGAGGGCACCTCGTTCCCCAGACACCAGACCCCCGGCTGCAGGGGACGCTCAGACGCTCATTTTCCCAGTGCGTCCGCTCACACCTGCACACGTGGCACTTTCGGAGGCCAAGACAGGGGGATCGCCAGAGTCCAGGAGTTTGAGACCACCCTGGGCAACATAGACCTCATCTGTACAAAAAATACTTTAAAAAGAGTGTGGTGGTATGCCCATGAGTGTGGTGGTGTGCCCGTGGGCCCAGCTACTCGGGAGGCTGAGGCAATGAATCACTCGAGCCCAGGAGGTCGAGGCTGAAGCGAGCCACGATCGCACCATGGACTCTAGCCTGGGTGACAGGGAGACCCGGTCTCGTCTCAGTAAACGCAGAATGCCTGTTGGTCTTCATCCTCAGGCTGTTTGAGCAGGTCAGGAGACAGGGCAACACAGGGAAGGCCCGGGCCTGGATGGAGCGAGCGTGGGGCTGGGACCTGCAGTGCCAGCCGGAGCAGGGCCTGCCACAGGGTGCCGGAGGGGCCGTGGGCGTAGAGGCTGTGAGGGGAGGAGGGTCACGGGGACAGAGGCCGTGGGAGGGGGTCATGCGGCCGGAGGCTGTGGGGGGGAGGGGCTTCAGGCTGGGGAGGAGCCGGGTGGCATGGATTCTGTTCTTCATGGGCTGCCCCTGCAGATCCCACTGGGCTTATGGGGCTCCAGGGTCCATCGAGGTGGCTGGGGCCGGTCAGCAGAGCAGTGTTCTCCTAGGGACCCTCAGTGCTGGGAGGCTGCGCCGTCCCTGGAATGTGGGCCCTGCCCGTGTGGCTCCTGCCCCCTCGTACCGTCTCTAGGGCCGAGGTCCTGGCTGCTGTGGAGCCGCTGAGGGGCAGGACTGTGTGTGCCTGTCCCGGCTGCCGGTGCGGGGCATGAGGCTTCAACCGCAGGCCCAATTCCCACCCGGTGCTGGAGGCCAGAAGGCTGACATGAAGGTGTGGGTGGGGCCGGGTCCTTCGGAGGCCGAGGGGATCTGCCCAGGCCTCTCCCAGCTCCTGGTGCTGGCCATGTCCTTGATGTTCCTTGACTTGTGGCCGAGTTGCCCACCCAGCCCTCATCGTCACGCGGTGTCCTCCCTGCCTGTGCGGTCACCTCTGTTCTCTTCTGAGGACCCTGTCCTTGGCCAGGGCCCCCACCTCTGTGTGGCGTCATCCTAAACAGTGACATCTGCACAGACCGTTTCCGGGTGAGACCTGATCCCCAGGTTTTAGTGTGTGTGGGGGTGCTAGCCGGCTCTGTCCTGGAGGGCCTCTCCAGCTGGTACCCTGCCGAGGCTGCTGTGAGGGTTCCAGGAAGTCTGTGGGGTTTTCCTTGAGGCCCCTGCCTTGAGATGCATCCCAGGACCGGAGGTGCCAACCCTGCCGTCCTCCTGTTCCCCCCACCTGTCCTTCCAGCCCCGCTTCCCAGTGCAGGCAGGGAGGACGAGGCTTGAGGACGGAGGCAGGGCTGGAGCAACGTGGCCTCAGGCCAAGGAACGCCAAGCCCTGGGGTGGTTCCCTTGCCCCGAGCAGGTGCTGGGCCTCAGAAGCTGTGGTGTCCTCTCTGGACATGGGCAATGGTGGATTGTTATGAGAATTCAAGGTTTTTTTCTTTTTTATTCACATGGGGCCCATGACCCCAGGATAAAGCTGAGGCCAGCCGGGCACAGGCCAGGGTGTGGCATGAATGTCCCCTCCCCACCTCATGTCTCAGGGTCCCCTTGCAACCTCACACTGGCCTCTTCACAGCGCAGGCCTTCTGTGCCATCTGTCGGGAATGTCTGTGCCCTCCCCGAGCTCACTGCCTCCCCACGATCTCCTGGGCCGCTCCCGCTCCGGCTGTGCCTTCTGTGCTGAGTGCAGAGCCCTGGCCTGAGCCCGCGCCTCTGCTGCCATCGTTTCTCTGCCAGCCGCCTCTGTCCACCACAAGCCGGCGGAGGGCAGCCCAGGTGCTCTGGGACAAAGCTGGTGGCCTGGTCTATGTCTGGAGGCCTTGAAGGCTGGTGGGACTGCCCCAGTGCACCAGGAGAGGCGCCTGCTCCCTGAGGTGGGGAGAAGACACTGAGGGCCCGAGTCCCAGCCTTGCTGGCCTCCACAGGCGTGCAGGGGAGGCCTTGCGCTCCGTCACTCTCCCGCCTGGCTGCAGCTGCTGGCGCAGGCCCTCCTGTCCCTCAGAGTCACCTGGCACGTCTGCGGTCCGCCTGTGCCTGCTGGTCTCCCCCCTGCAGACCAGACCAGGCGGAATCCGCCGCTCGCATGCCAGGGCAGCTCCGCTATCCTGGGCAGAGATTCACGGACCCCGCCCTCCCTGGGGCCTGGGGCTGAGGCTTGAGGGGCCTCTCCGCTTCTGCCTTTGTGTTTTTTTCTTTTTGAGACGGAATTTTGCTTGTTGCCCAGGCTGGAGTGCAGTGGCATGATCTCAGCCTCCTGGGTTCCAGCGGTTCTCCGGCCTCTGCCTCCTGAGCAGCTGAGATTACAGTTATGCGCCACCACGCTCAGCTAATTTTGTATTTTTAGTCCAGACAGGGTTTCTCCATGCTGGTCAGGTTGGTCTTGAACTCCCAACCTCAGGTGATCTGCCTGCCTTGGCCTCCCAGAGTGCTGGGATTACAGGCGTGAGTCATTGCCTAGCCTGTATCTTTCCTCGTTCCAGAAAACTTCGAAAAGTCACAAGTGGAAAGAGGTGAATCTCCTGTAACGGAGCCCTGCCCGCAGGCGGCGTCTGCGCTGCTGTTCTTTCTCCCGCTGTGGCGTGTGGCTGAGTGTGGGGTTGAGCTTCTCACTGTGTGAGGCGTGGGCTGCGCCAGCCCTTCTCCCCAGGCGGAGGCTGGCAATTCAGCCCTCTGGAGCCGCCACACCGTGGGGCACTGTGGGGAGTGACTGTGGCATCAGTGTTGACTCCTGTGAAAGATGCGGGGTGAAATCTGCGCCCCTGACCCCAGCGAGGGGAATTGCCTCTGTGCTTAGGATGATGTCTGATGTCCAGACGCTGTCTGTAGGGTCCCAGGGCACCCACTGCAGGTTCCCGTGGCAGCTGGCACCCAGAATCCCCTGGGTTCTCATGTCCCCACCCTAGCGCCCGCTTCCCTGCGGCCCCTGGGCCCCTTCACCAGTGATGGAGGGGCCTGCGGCAGGCACTCCTGGAGTTGGCGTGCCCACTCTCGGGTGCATCCTTGATGGTTCCAACATTGGAAGCTCTTGTGCTGCAGCCGCCGTCCAGTCTGGTGTGCCGGGGGGGCCTGGCTGGGGGCCGTCCTTGGACAGCAGACTGGGCCTTGGGGGCCACAGGTGGCTGAGTCCTGGCGCCGTGTCCCTCTAGGATGGTGGACGTGGGGGGACAGCGGTCAGAGCGGAGGAAGTGGATCCACTGCTTCGAGAACGTCACGTCCATCATGTTTCTCGTCGCCCTCAGTGAATACGACCAAGTCCTGGTGGAGTCGGACAACGAGGTGGGTGCCGCCCTGAGCAGGGCCAGCTTGGGGAGCCGGGCCTTCCCCTCCCGCTGAGCCCGGATCCCCTCGGCTGTCGGCGGGTGCATGCCGGGGAATGGGGGCCTCTCTGATCCCTGCTGCGTTCGCTCCCACAGAACCGGATGGAGGAGAGCAAAGCCCTGTTCCGGACCATCATCACCTACCCCTGGTTCCAGAACTCCTCTGTCATCCTCTTCCTCAACAAGAAGGACCTGCTGGAGGACAAGATCCTCTACTCACACCTGGTGGACTACTTCCCCGAGTTTGACGGTGCGTCCGGCGGCCGAGCTGGGGCTCACGAGCGGGGCCCTGTGGGAGGGAGGGGGCTCACGGGAGGGAGATCTCAGGTCTCATGAGGGGGTTCCGGTACGGGAATGAGTTCTCCGTCGTGGGTGCCTCATACCCATTGGAGGAGTCTGTGAGGCAGAGGGATCTCAGCTGGGAGGGGTCTCGAGTTGGGGGATCTCGGGTGGGAGGGGTCTCGGGTAGGGGGTGTCTCGGGTGGAGGGGTCTCAGGGGGG